TAAGTGCCCGTAGCTGGAAACTATGGTAGTGTGCATACAGTCGTGTCCGGAAAGTTTTCGTACCCCTGAGGTACAACCCCGCAATACCTCATTGCCACAACAACCCTCCTCACCATGGCCCCTCCACATAACCTAAGAGCAAGAGAAGACCTAAATAAGGAAATTTATACTCTGTATAACCATACAGATATGGGATATGATAAAATTTCTAAGTCTTTAGGTGTATCTAAGTCAACTGTTCAGTCTGTGGTCAAAAGAGCTAAATCTAGGGGTGGAAACACTCACCATGCAAAAAGAGGTGAAAGACCAACCAAGATTACCGACATAAAAAGAAAGATAGTGGAGTCTGCTATCGATGCCAAGCCTCATTTAGCATTATGCGACATTACCAAAAAAGAGAAATATTGGTCTTGGTAAAACCACTATTGAGAAGATTATATCAGAAGCTGGTTTTAAGCTTCTGATACCTAAGAAAAAGCCTTTTTGGAGAAAAGGACAAAAGGAGAAAAGAAGGGAGTTTGCTAGGAGAAGGAGGAACTGGAAAGGGGCATGGAATTGGGTTGTTTTTGTGGATGAAGCCACCATTGATTATAATCTAAATCCAACAGGCAGAAAGGTCAGAGTTAGACCTGGTGAAGAGCTGGAAGAAAAAAACTTAAAGCCTAGCTTTAAGTCTGGAAGGACTAGCATTGGAGTATATGCTGCAATGATGAAGGGAGGAAAGACTGAGTTAATTCTTGTGAGAAATAGGAGGGAGGAGGAAAGGACCAGCAAAAGAGACAGACTTGGCCTAAACTCTCACCAATATGCAACTGAGATCCACCAGCCTTACCTTATCCTTTTTATAGAGGGTCTGGATAGACCTTCTGACAATATCTACCTTACTGCAGACAATGCTTCCTGGCATGGTGGTGAGGAAAATCGAAAATTGGAAGCAGACTGTGGTTACAAAAAACTCCCTTGGCCACCCAACTCACCAGATCTCAATTCTATTGAGAACACATGGGCACTACTCAAAAGAGCCCTTACCAAGCGATTCTCCAGACTGGAAAGAAGGCCTCATAGTGCAGCTGAATTGTTTGAGGCAGCAAAGGAAGAGTGGTATTTAATTCCCCAAGAGAAGTTGGATGGATGGATAGATAGGATGCCTGAGAGAATGCAAGCTGTACTGGATGCAAATGGAGGCCATACAAAATGGTAATAATGTTTTTTTATTGTCTACTAGCAATACTATCATGTTTTCTTTAATTGAATTCTTTACATTTTTTTTGAAATTTTTATGGTTGGGGGTTGTGGTTGTGCGGCTGCCTTGCAAGGGTACGAAAACTTTCCGGACACGACTGTACCTCTCATTTCCTTTCTTTCCTTCTTAAGAAGTCAACCAACTCCACTCCACACCTCTTGTATGAAACTCTCCTCACTCCTCTTTCTCTATTGTTCACACACATACAATACAAGGTTCCCTCATTACCATCAGAGCCAACTCTATCCACTGCGTAAAACCCACCTTTCAGTCATTACTGTTGCAACTACAACCGGTTTTATCCTGTCTGTCTTCCTCAATTTCCAACAAATAACAAGAGCAATGTATAAGCTTGTTTTTTGAGTTATATTTTCGCCACCTAACTTACACTGCTATCACGCTACAACACCACAATAATAATTCTTACTCGCTTCTCCCTCATTCAACCCCACGATGCGCATCAAATGTTAGATTAGTCTTCGGTTGTCTGCAAAAAAAAAAGAAAAAGAAAACGCCTAGCATACACAGCAACTAGAAGAACAATCTCCAAAGAGTGCTTGAGAAAATACAACCCAAGACAACATAGCCTAGAAACAAAAGTAGAACCCGACAACAGCAAAAAACCTCTTCCAGAAAGATAACTTATGCCAAATTCGTACCGAGGGAGGTTCAATGTTGAAATGGATAATACAAGGACATATCCACAGCAACTAGTTCTTCCCTCATACCGTAGCATAGCTCTACAAGATGATATGAGCAAACACGAATTGCCATGATATCCCCCCACCCTACACTAATTAACAAAAACGCCAACCAAATCAATGGCTAAACTCTGTGTAATTAGATCCCCGCCCCTCTCTAAAATTCACAAGTACTATCCCACACTTTTTGCAAGAAAAATTGCAAAAGAAAAGTCAAATACAAACTCAGATCATTGGAGACACTACTCGCACTAGCCCCTACGCTTCACAAGAATATTCGCAACACCGAGAGTGCGAGAGGGGCTTACTCCGAGTCGTCCTCAGGCGGCCCCATCTCCCACAGCGCTTTCAGACCAGCAACGGATTTGCCTCCATAACTCAAGCGGCCCCGGCCAATGACTGGCTCACTCCGGACGACGGAAGCACCATGTACTCCAGAGGCGGCGGTTGTAATGGCGGCGCGCTGTTCAGCTGGTTTCTTGGTTAGCACATGAACAGTTGAGAAGGGGGTTGGAGGTTGGAGAGGACTTACAGGTTCCACCTTCAATACTATAACCTGCCGTAGGTGCACAGAAGAATTGGCCGCCTTTTGAAGTGTGATGTGTGTCAGTGGGTAACCTGACCTGTTTGTGAGTTCGGCTCTATGACTTACCAGACCCGCCAGCCTCGCCTCCTTCGTGATCGGAAATACCGAGAGCTTTGATCCCAGCCTTGATTGCCCTCACGCTCTTGCCCGTTGCTGTTCTGGCTACTTTCACGGACCGGCTTTCAGGAGTTTTTGGCGCTGGACGCTTGGTACCAGCAGTTATTACTAGTTCCGGATATACGCGGTTAGTTCTTTCTTTGTTGACTTTTTTTGGAGTAAATATCGCATTGAAAGTACATACCGATAACCTCGCCTTCGAGCATATCGACATCCTTGCTTTCCTGCTCAGGTTCACTCTTGAATGCCATGGGACCCTTTCTACCAGTCGAGGATCTGGTAACCGGCTTGCCAGTCCCCTCCGCAGGTATCATCTTGTTAGCAATGGTCTTTCTGGGAGTCTTACCACCGGTTCCCTTCCGAGCGGTCTTCCCGGGAACCTTTTTGGCAGTCCCCTTTGCGGGGGTTCGGGGGTTCTTGGGTGTTTTTGCGTAGTTGTCGTCGTTTTCGTTGTTGTCGTCTGGATAGTATCCGTCGTCCTGGTCATCGAGGCGCGTGGGATTTTCTTCAGAGGTGCCTTTCGAGATGGCTTTTCCTTTCTTTCCCGGGGTGCTCTTGCCCCCCTTCTTTTTGGGAGTTTTGGCCGCAGCAGATCTGCGAGTATACGGCCTACGAGTGGGTCTTGAGCCTGCTGTAGCTGTGTTTGTGGCTCCGGGCGTCTTGGGAGAGATTCCTTTTCCCGCGACACGCTTCGCTAGTATGCAAGGTCAGTCTTTATCCCGTTAACCGCCTAAGTGTAAACATATCATACCAACAGGAGTTATATTCTCGTAATCCGAATCACCACTCTCTCCTCCAGCAGTAGTTTCATCGTGGTCAGCTGAACCGTGGTCGGGATCTGCGAGTGATAATAATGCAAATTCAGCCTTAACCCCATCCCATCCCATCTCACCCCATACAATCTCGTAAACACAAATGGTAACTTACCAACGAACGATACATCTTTAACATCACTCACAATCACCGTCTCCTTTTTCTCAATAACCTTCCTCTTCCTCCCCCTCTTCTTCCCTACCTTCTTCCGATTCCCTCCGCCCTTAATCGGTTTCTTTGAGAGGTTGGCCATTGAATCTTTGCTAACTGTAGTACCTGGCTTGTTGTTTTCTTGCTCTCCAATACCCGCAGCCTCTAGAGAAGCGGACCGGGGAGGAAGAAGAACCAGGTCCATTTGTTTTGTTTTTTTGTTTTCGACTGTTCCACCAACCTTTTTTTTGTTTTCTGTTCGCTTTCGTGATTGTGGTATCTGTGGGTGGATGGGGATAAGAGGGAAAGAGGAGGCTGTTAAGGTGATGGCAAAAGATATTTGGGGTGCGCCAAGGAACTGGGGGACAGCGGGTAGACCACGTATCGTCGCGACGAAATTTGTGCGGCAGAGAAGGGCTTGCGCGAGAACTAATACCAAGAAAACCCTTGAGAGGAGGGAAAAACTGGGAGTTCGGTCTACTGTTTCGATTTAATTTCTATCATAGTCAACTTCCTCGCCTCGCTTCGGGAAATATGACTCACACAGTATCACTCGTGCTGTTGGTCTAAAGCTATCTACCGTTTGCCAGTGTCGACGGCAAGCTAGGTACAGTACAGTACCATAATTTTCGGAAAACGTACGTGTAACACAACACTAACAACATCGCGATTACACGGCCTTACAATCGAACCGAGCGAACCAACCACCTACCCAGCTCCCAGAACTTCGACAAAAATTGTTGTCCCCGAGTCCAATCGGTCAGGGCGGGAAAACCACTCATAATCCTTTCCCTCCAAATCTTACCCTGCCGACCACCCCAACTACACAAATACGCTTGATATTAGTTGAAAAAATCAGCAGGATTGAATACCGGCAAGCGATATGTTTGACACCTTGCCATCGCTTCCGGGATGGCCGTTTGTTACGACACCAGCAGTCATTTTGCAGCAACTCTGACTCCTGTCATCGTGGGTCCCAGATGGTCTGTTAAAATCTGTGTTATTGTTGCGGGTTCTGTCGCATATTGCGACGCCTATAAATAGCTTCGTTTATGTCCCGTTTGGCTCCAGGCTTTGTTTTGACCTCTTGGGCCACCGATACTTCAAAAACTCTAGAAATCCTATCAGATGATCAGTGGATATAAGCCATTGGGAAGAGATAGATTTGGTTCGACAGGCTAAGGGAATCGCGAATACCGGCTAATAAAATCCAACATATCCAGTGGGCTGGTCTTATGTCATAAGGCTTTTCACTATATAATTATTTCACGCATTCACATTGATGCAGGCATAATGTATCACTCGGCACAATTCATTGAGCGCTAAGTTATTCTTTCGACTCCATCCTTGTGGACAGACAGACAAAAAGTGGGAGGGATTGAAAATGATACACCACAAATTGAAGGAAATTATCTAAGTAATGATACGGTACACCATTCCACTGAAATAGACCTTCTGCTTCCCGCACTGCTTACATGATTTCTCCGAGCTCCCCCGTCATGACTCATGCCCGTGTCACCCTAGTATTACCACCCGACCCGCTCCATCATACAAACGCCAGCCGCCAATCTACCCATATAAAGGAGCACAAGCGAAAGAAGGCAAGGAAGTATGAAATAAAAGCACCATTAGAATTTGTGTGAGAGAAAAAGCATCAACATGTAATTACAGGCAAAGACTAACCCTCTCCATAATCCTCTCAAGAGCTTGCAGGTTCCTCTTCAACAGGATTAGCGCACCAGCAGTGACGCTGCCAACTCTCTCCCGCACCGTCTCCTCCGCCTTCTCTCCAGTCATAGTTCCCTCGCACTCAGAGCGCTTAACAACTTCCCTGGTTGAGCCGATTACCGCCTCAAGGAGATTCAGGCCGCCTCTCTGGTGGGGAAGGTACAGCCACTTGATCTCGTCTTCGAAACCGGACATGGGTGTTTCCAGAACGTGCTTCACGAAGCCGCGGGAGAGGATATAGGCTTTCTCAGAATACAGGGCTGAGGCGAGGGATACTTCATCAGCTCCTTCGAAGACCCCGAAGCCGGCTTCGTCTGGTGTTCACGGTTAGGTCAGCTCTTGTTGCCCAAAACGCAAGAAGGCAAGGCCAAAGGGGAGAAGAAAAAGGGAAAAAAAAAGAGGCTATGATCAGAGACGTTTATAAGGTGGGGTGGTTTTTTCCTCACTGGGGGAATCACTCACTCCAAGAGTGAGTGGTTTCCCGCTCGAGCCAAACGCACTCGGCCCATCACGATAGCGTCGCGGAGTAGAAAAAAGGTGAAGAAAGAAACCTACTGTAATACGGCTCCCGAACAAGTACCAATCCCATCAAACTGACAAGGACCTGCAAAACAGTACTACCCCCAGCTGACCATGCCTCATTCTTCTGCTCTGCATGCCATGTTCCCAAAAGACTCAAACAAACCTTTCCATCTTCATATAGATTCGGATTGACCCTTCCAACACCTCCGGTCCAACTATGAAAATGCACAATAGGCGGAGATTGAGGAAAAGCGCCAGGAAAATAGAAATCGAAGAAGAATGGCGCCAGCTCGTACGGGGTGTTCATAGGACCGATTATAAGCACACGCAAAAGGTCAAGACGCGACTCCCACCCCCTGACCACGATCCCATCCGGGAGGGACGTCGAGAGAATATTATGTTCTTTATGCATGCGGCGGAGAAACGTCGGCTCTATGCGTGTTGCATAACCCTTTATGAACCTGTGATCGGAGGGAACCGGAGTATCTAAAATGGCAAACTGGGCAGGCTTCTCGGAAGTTTCTGGTATCGAGAATGCTTCTGGAGCTGGCATACTGCTCGGCGGACACGGAGCGGGTTGAGGACAGGTGTGAGTGGTCACATTCTTTGCAGCTTCAGCTCCCTCACCTTCCTCTATTATGTCCGTTTCCATCCCATGCTCCACAGCAGTTACTTGGACGCCACCGCTAACGGAGGCAACAGAGATATCCATATCAACAACAGAGGAGTTGCTATCCACTTCCATACCGTCATCCGTAAGCCAGTCTTCCTCCTCCCCATTGTCAAGACGCTCGCCGCCTTCGTAGCAGATATCCTCTGCGACAGGAGTCCGAGAATTGGCCCCAAAAGCAAACCGGGAACCGGCAACAGCGCTCCAGTCGCTGCCTGAATCTGACTTCTCTTCAAAGCTTAGGTCATCATCCGAATCATCTATCTCCTCTTCCGAGATATCATCAAAATCCATATCGTCATTGAATACAATGAAAAGTCGGTCAATTAAAACTCTGATATCCCTAGGCACATCCAATGCTCCAAGCCGCACAGTAACCAAACCATCAATCCCCATATCAACAACCTCGCCAAGCCAATCAACAGGTTGCGTTAGATAAGCATCTTCGCAAGGCGTCCTAGGTCGAGATGAGTTTTGGGGCACTGATGAGCGTTGCGGGTATTGAGCGGCGCTACTAAACGGTATTTGGTTCAACTGACGACCAACTCCCTGCAATTGCGGGTCGCTACTAGCACCCAATGCTGCACTCAAGTTCATCAGTAGGCTATTGTCCAGCGCATTGATTGGTATATTGTCATTCAACGTATCCGTTCCTTCTGGTCTCGCCCAACTGATATCCTCGAGCCGCAGAGGGTATATTTGGCCATGCTCATTTCGACCTGCGCTGCTCCCAGCAGAGGCCACAGAATTCCCGGATCCAGGACTCGCGTTATATTCCGGCAAAATTGATACGAAATCGCCCCTTCTCACAGTGAACGCCTCAAGGTCCATCACTTCGTAAACACTAACATCCTCGGCCTCATCTCCAAGCTCCCCAGTCTTAAAACCTGGCATCACGCAATCGCAGTTGAATTCAACAACAGGATTCCTAAACCACCTGACATTTGCCACTCGCCCCCGAGAGTTTACATTCTGCACCACCCCGACTTTACTCCTCTTCTGGGTATTGGCAGAGGGGAAAACAATTCCATGACAAGAAGAGTCCGGAGGTTTGGGTGAATCGTCATGGTCAAGTTTTAACACAACAATTTCCCCGGGCCAAACTTCTTGCTCATCAACATTAAGATAGGGTGTTAAATCCCTAGCATTGTCAACCGTCTCCGTCAAATCCTGCCAACGTACCCTAACACGCGTTAACGTGGAAACCACCCCAAATGTATTGATATCAAATCCCATCGCATCACTCCTCGAGATGTTTTTTATTCCTGGGTACCTTGTGACAGCGCGAGGCAAGTCCCTAAATCGAACTCTATCTCCAACTTGGAGAACTCCACCACCGGTGGCCCCACCACTAGCAGTATACGGCGCTCCGTCCAAGCCGACAAATCCACCCGTTGATTTACAGAACCTCTTGAGCTTGGGCAGCACCTCTTCAAGCTCCAGCCACGTACTTGGTCGTTCCACTGGTACGAAGCGACCAGTAATCATTGAATTTTGGCGGAGCCAGCGCACACCAAGCTTTGTTGTCTTTACAGAAACTATCACTCCAGTAGGGCGGGCATTCGGATTATAAGCTCCATACAACCATTTCCCCCTACGAAGATTTGCTTTTGAAGTAGTCACCGTGAAGCCCGGCGAGAGAAGAGCTGGTGCCGGCACTGTTCCCGTACGTCGAGAGCGCCCCGACGGTCGACGCTCACCAGGTGGGTCAGTCACATCTGCACTATCATCATGAGCCGAAGACGCAATACACCGCCGGACGGCAACTTCCTCTTCCTGGCTCAAAATGGGAATTTCCAATCCAGCAGAATCCTCAGGTATCACCACGCTTCCATTCCCCAAGCGAATAGCAACTTCATCAACCACATCCTCGATAACGCCGATCCAACAACCCTTATAGACCACGAGATCGCCATCGTTCCATTCATGCGCGAGACAAAGCTCAGCTTCAGGGATACCAGTAACAACAGATGTCGGCTCCGAAGAAATCTGGAAGGAATGTTGCACACTAACTTCTGTTGAAACTGAAATCACAGTTCCTGACATGGGAGACCTTAGATTCCGTTTCACAACATCTCCGAAAGCAAGCGCCCGGTCAAGAACTTTCACTTCAGACTCGTGCACAAGCCTGCTCTTCTGGGACGGTGTCGATGGCTCGAAAACGGCAAAGTGGCGGGGAGGCTAGGGATTAAATAGGGGATCGCGTTAGCATGATAAACTTGAGTGGGATAAAGAACAAACCTGGCCAGTGTCCAGCAAAACGTTCAATTCGTTCACCGTAGCGATACTGCCAGGGACGAAATCCGGCTCATTATCCCAATCATCGTCAGGCTCATGCCATGTTTTCTAGAAGGCATATCAGCTTGTCAAATAACCAAGTACTATCATGAAGAACGGCTAGGAGTAGAGGAGGCATACGGAAATAACACCCACGAGCTCCGGAAATTCCTTAAGGTAACATGTGTCCTCCAGAAACAACTAGAGAGAGTTATTAGGTGAGGATTCCATCCGGTTTCACGACAAAAAGGAGCAAACCGTGTCCCAAGTTCCTTCTGGAGGTCCCGGCTTTCGCGCTTCCATGTTGGAGAGAAAACACCACTTCCCGGCAGCCGAAGGTGTAATCGCAGAGCCGCAATGAGGCGAAAAACGAAAGACTCACAAAATATTTGGAAGAAGGATGAAGACAATTGAGAGGTGAAAGAGTTGTTGAGAAAGTTGATGCTCTCCCGTCTGAATTTCTGGCCAAGAAGAATGCCCCAGTTGCACTAGAGTGGATCACGGGAAAGTGGGTGCTAGGGATGAGGGGGCCTCACGAGCTAGGAGGAGGTTGGTCGGGATGTTACTCAATCAGCTATAGATCGAGAGACCCCCTGAGCGTAAAC